ATGATAATAGTAGTACTCGATTACTTATATTTACTATATCTCTTCTCCTCCTTCTTCCTACTACTCTCTCTCTCTCTCTCTCTCTCTCTCTCTCTATGGTCACAGGTTTAGAAGTCCTAGATCTATGCCTAATTACATAACTTAGTACAATTCCATTCTCTCTTTGTGCCTCCCATCTCAAGTGCTCTCTAGAATTTGAAATCTCTTATTTAAAATGTAATTTCCTATGCTGTACAATAAATAATATTTTTAATTGGGTGTGGTTTGTATAAGACTGAGGACCTAAACAATCGAAGTAAGGTGCATCTTGAGATAGCGTCGAACGTTGTTAGTCAGTATTTGGAGATCTTTGTGATGGTCTGAAAATTTTATTTTTATTTCTAATTATAAAATTTGAAACTTCAAAAATAGTGTAGATTGAGCAAATCTATGAACACTTGAAAATCTTGAACATTGATGTTCCAAACAATAGATTTCAAGTAAACTATTTTCAAACTGAAAATTCATTTTTTCTAATGTTCATACATCTTGTGATCAAAATGATTGATTTGAGGATTTTTGGGCATCGAATCAACCTCTTGTAATGAATTTTTGATGTGAGCCTTAATTTAATTGTTTAGGGTCTTGCCGTTATATAAACTTTTCCTTTTTAATTAAAATCTTGGAAATCAATTTCATAATTTTTTGCTATACATTGGAAATTCTAAAAAGGGTTGAGGAATCCAATTAGGTTATATTTGCATAAATAATTAATTATAAAATACAAATACAAGTTATAACTAAAAAGAAAATTAAATTTACAATTAGAGCTTACATGTTTCTTTTGATGGCCCTAGCCTAAATATACCATACAACATACAACAGATTAGCAATAAAGGTTCGGAAATAAAAGAAATGGCTCCAGAAAGGAACATGCGAGTTCTACAAGAGTTATTCCCATAAGTCAACCATAGAATCCTAAAAAATAAGAAATATACTACAAAGCCATTCATTTTTTAGTACTAAGAAGTCATAATCATGTTAGATTAGATCGACGAATTTAATACTAAGAGGTCATAATCATGTTAGATTAGATCGTAAAATTAAATTCGTCAGATGTATAAAAAATTTTATTTTGAGTTTTTGTGCCCAATCATTTATATAGCCCCAGCTGGCTGTTCATATCTAATGACCAATGATTGTGGTCTCCTTATGCGAAGAAGATTAAACAGTGTAAACTTTTCCTTAAGAACAAAGAAACTGGCTAAATTTTCCCAAAAAAACTCTCTTTCAATTTTAGTTTTGCACTTTTTTTTATTTCACTCGAAGCAATAGGGCACTTAGGATCGGCTCACACTCGTGAAGATCATTATTTGCAAAAGTTTTTAAAATTATTGAAGAAAGAGAATACCACCATGACTCCATTAAATGAAGGCCAACTCTTGAGAATGGGGG